GTTCATAAAAATGTTTTAGTGCAGCAGTAATGATCAGAGCTGCTCTGTTCCTCCTGCATAACCATCCATCCTACCTGCTTTATTTAACCTTTGGAGTTAAATTAAACTCCTTGATTTATTTTTAAATGTCTGCAGAAGCGATGGCAGCTTGCAGGTAGCGTCTGCCCCCCTCATAAAACTCCTGCATCAGTTTCTCTGATTGGTTGACGCTCTGGCGTCCAGCGGTTTATATTTCTGAACTCCATCATCAGACGCTGTGAAGCTCTGACAGGACGTCTCGGCGCCGCCTGACGGCGTCCGCCATTGAGTCGGACGCTTTGACACTCAGAACACATTCGCTGTGAACTCGCCTTCAGTCACGGGAGCGATCTGCTGCTCGGTGGAGGTTTCTAGTTAAAAATGATTTTACAGACGTCAGCGTCTCATAAACGAAACATTTTTCATTTTCTTTCTACATTTAAAACCTGATTTAGCTGCAGTTTAAAATGAAGCGAGTGTAAAAGGCTGATCCAGAGTCAGCTGTGCTCAGAGATGTTGATCTGTGCTCTCCTGCAGGACATGGGGACCGTGGTCCTCGGGAAGCTGGAGTCGGGTTCCATCAGTAAAGCTCAGCAGCTCGTCATGATGCCCAACAGGGTGAGATGTTCCACCTACAACCTTCACACTAACATGGCCGCTAATCTATCCCAGATTATTGGATTTTAATCCAGAAAAAACAATCTTTTAAAACAAACATTGGTTCTGGTTCTCCTCCCCATCCCTCCCTCTCCTGACCCGTCTGGGTCCATGCAGCACGTGGTGGAGGTTCTGAGTCTCCTCTCGGATGACGTGGAGACGGAGGACGCGGGTCCAGGTGAGAACCTGAAGCTGCGGCTGAAGGGGATCGAGGAAGAGGAGATTCTGCCGGGCTTCATCCTCTGTACCTCTGACAGCCTGTGTCATTCGGGTCGGACCTTCGACGCTCAGGTACGTCCGGCGGCAGTGGTTCCGCCGCTCGCCTCCCAGACGCCGGTCCTGATGTCCCGCTGTCCTCCACAGATCGTCATCATTGAACATAAATCCATCATCTGTCCGGGTTACAACGCCGTGCTTCACATCCACACGTGCATCGAAGAGGTCCAGATCACGGTAAGACGCCGCCGCCTCCCGTTGACCTCCTTCTGGAGCCCAGCCTCCTGCTAACGCGCGTCTCCCGGCAGGCTTTGATCTGCCTGGTGGACAAGAAGACCGGAGACAAGAGCAAGACGCGTCCGCGGTTCGTTAAGCAGGA